AGTAATAATTACAATCGTAATAATAAGAAGAAAAATAATAATAACAATAATAATAATAAGAATAAGAATAATAATAGTAAGAAGAATAATAGCAATAATAATAATAATAATAATATTAAAAATCATAATAATCATTAGAAGAAGAAGAAGAATAAGAAGAAGAAAAAGAATAATACTAATAAGAAGAAGAATAATAATAATAAGAAGAATAAGAAGAATAATAAGAATAATAATAAGAAGAATAATAATAAGAAGAATAAGAATACTAAGAATACTAATAATAAGAATAATAATAATACTAATAATAAGAAGACTAAGAAGACTAATCATAATAAGAAGAGGAAGAATAGGAATAATACTAATAAGAAGAAACATAATAATAATAAGAATAACAATAAGAAGAGGAGGAGGAGGAAGGAGGAGGAGGAGGAGGAGGAGGAGAGGCGGATGAGGAGGATGAGAGGAGGAGGAGGAGGAGATGAGGAGGAGGAGGGAGAGTAGGAGGTGGAGGAATATTTTTTTGAGTCGCAGAGTCACTCGGAGCAGCAGAGAGGAACACGCTCCCGCGAGAGCTCGTTGCACCCAATTTGAGGAGGAGAGAGGAGGAGGAGGAGAGGAGAGGATGAGGAGGAGGAGAGGAGGAGGAGGGTGGAGAGGAGGAGGAAGAAGGAGGAGGAGGAGGAGGAGGAGGAGGAGGAGGAGGAGGCGAAGGAGGAAAAAAAGGAGGAGGAGGAGGAGGAGGAGGAGGAGGAAGAGGAGGAGGAGGGCCACCGGCTCAGCCCGCCGCGCCCTGGCCGACGCGGGCGAGGACGCGCGCCCGGAGGGCGGCCAGCCGCACGGCCGCAGGCGGCGCCGAGGACGGCCGTGCCGCGGCCGCGCGCGCCACGCAGACGGCCAGCTTGTGTGGGCCGCGTCGGCAGCGGCGCCGCGCGCGCAGCGAAACCGGCGGGCTGCAGTGCCTTGGCTGCGCGCCGCGCGCCCCCAGCGCGCGGGCGGCCAGCAGCCGCGGCGGGCCGGCGCGGCGGGCCGGGGCGGCGCCCCCGCGGGCAGCTGCGGCGTCGGCGGCGCGCGCCGCGGCGGGCGGGGCAAATCCCGCGGGCGCCGGACGGCGGCCGCGTCGCGCACCGTGACGCGCCGGAGGGCGCCGCCAGGCCCGACCAGCTCGCGGACGTGATTGTTCGCGGCGTGGGTGACCGCCCCCAGGACCGCGCACTCGTGCGCCACGAGTCTTTCGGCGACTTTAAAAAAGCCCCGAAGCCGGGCCGCACGGCTGCGGACAGCCGGTTGCAGCTTTGGCAATGATGTCCGCCAAGCGGTTGGCCCTCCAATCCACTGCTGTGACCGCGTGGCCGTCCGACCTCAGTGCCGCGCCGATCACGGTCAGGGCGCCATGAGCCGGCATCCAGGTAAGCCTGCCAGTCGTGACCAGAGTCGAGATGTCGCCGTCGACAAGCGTCGCCACGCGCGACCAGATCTGAGCGAGCATACGCGTTGGCTTTGTGGCCTGTGCTGACCCTGCCTCCGCAGTCGCGATGAGCGCCCTGCAATCGGTGCGAATGACAGGCGGAGTGAGCGTGCTGGACAGCACAAGCATGACTGCCCAGAGCTCTGCAGCCGCGGCCGTGCGAATCCAGGGCGGAGGCACGTCGGAGCCGTATGCCACGAGGTCCCCGGCCTCTGACACGACGACAAAAGCGCATCCTGTACGCCGGAACTCCCACAGAGGGCCAAACTTCATGGACCCGTCCGTGTACCAGCACAGATCGGTGCGAGTCGCGTCTGGCGGGCCAGTGTACCAGCGAACGGCCACCTCCACTTGCGGCAGCGGACGCGGCAACCGAAGTGCAAGAAACCCGCGGGTCCGGAGCAGCGCGAGGCGGGCGTCCGACATCGCCGAGAGCAGGCGCCCACATACCTCCGGCGGCTCCGGCCACCCGTCCGGGGGCAACGCGGCCACGCAAACACGGCGATGCAAGAGGTTGCCGGGCGTGACCCCGCAGAGTTGGCAGGCCTTGTCCGTGACTCCAGCGCCCCGCAGCTTGGCCAGGCGCACCTGCGGCCATTGCCCCCCTGTGGCGGCGGACAGGAGCTGGGAGCGACAAGGCGCGGACCACTGCGGCACCGTGCTGCCTGGGCGCCCGCGTCCCTTGACCAGGGCAGCGAGGGGGCGGCCCACGAGGACAGTGACCGCGCAGGCGCCCTGGTCCAGAGGCATGTCAAGATCGCCACTGACGAGGGCAGGGAGCGCCGACATCACCCGTCGCGTGCGCCAACGGCCAACCGATCTTTGCACCGCGGCCGCCACCATCGCGGGGGACATGGAGAGGAAGTCGACGGGCTCGCCGAGGTCGTCTGCAAAACGTCTCGGCGCGGGGCACGTCCACCCCAGGCGCCAGGCGGTGGCGATGACGCCCGCCACAGGGCCAGCGACGGCGGACCACAGGAGAAGGAGGAGGAGGAGGAGGAGGAGGAGGAGGAGGAGGAGGAGGAGGAGGAGGAGGAGGAGGAGGAGGAGGAGGAGGAGGAGGAGGAGGAGGAGGAGGAGGAGGAGGAGGAGGAGGAGGAGGAGGAGGAGGAGGAGCAGGAAGAGGACGAGGAGGATGAGGCGGAGGCGGAGGAGAGGAGGAGGAGGAGGAGGAGGCGGAGGAGGAGGAGGAGGAGGAGGAGGAGCAGGAGCAGGAGAGTGGGATTGGAGGAGGCGGAGGAGGAGGAGGAGGAGGAGGAGGGAGGAGGAGGGAAGAGGAGGAGGGAGAGGAGGAGAGAGGAAGGAGGAGGAGGAGGAGGGGAGGAGGAGGAGGAGGAGGAGGAGGGGGAGACAGAGGAGGACGAGGAGGAAACAGAGGAGGAGGACGAGGAGGAGGGGGAGGGCGAGGAGGACGAGCAGGAACACTAATCATTTTACTACTACTACTACTACTACTACTACTACTACGACTACTACTACTACTACTACCACTACTACTACTACTACTACTACTACTACTACTACTACTACTACTACTACTACTACTACTACTACTACTACTACTACTACTACTACTACTACTACTAACCACTACCCTACTACCACTGCCACATACACTACCACTTACCACTACCCCTACCACTACCACTACACACTACCACTACACTATACTACTACTACTACTATACTACTACTACTACTACTACTCACTACTACTATCATACTACCACTACTACTACTACTACTACTACTACTACTATTACTAAGTACTAGTACTACTACTACTACTACTACTACTACTACTTACTACTACTACTACTACTACTACTACTACTACTGCTACTACTGCACCAACTACTACTAGTACTACTACTAGTACTATTACTACTACTACTACTACTTCTACTTCGACTACTACTGCTACCACTACTACTACTACTACTACTACTGCTACTACTGCTACTAGTACTGCTACTACTACTACTACTACTACTGCTGCTGCTGCTACTACTACTACTCCTACTCATGCTATTACTACTAGTATTACTATTATTACTACTACTACTACTAATCATACATACTACTCATAGTATTATTATTATTTTTATTATTATTATTCGTATCATTATTACTACTATCATTATTCTTGTTATTATCAGTATTAGTATCAGTATTACTTTTATTTGTAGCGCTATCATTATTTATAGTAATAATGTAGTAGTAATAATCATAATAATGCGAGTACTAATATGGATAATACTAATACTATCAAGAATAAGAATGAGAGGAGGAGGAAGCGGAGGCGGAGGCGGAGGAGGAGGCGGAGGAGGAGGAGGAGGAGGAGGAGGAGGAGGAGGAGGAGGAGCAGGAGGGTCAGGGAGGAGAGGCAGAGGAGGAGGAGGAGGAGGAGGAGGAGGAGAGGGAGGAGGAGGAGAGGAGGAGGAGGAGGAGGAGGAGGAAAACCAGGAGGAGCAGGAAAAGGAGGAGGCGGAGGAGGAGCAGGTGGAGCAGGAGGAGGTGGTGGAGGAGGAGGAGGAGGACGAGGAGGAGGAGGAGGAAGAGGAGGAGGTGGAGGGCAAGCTAGGTGTGCTCGCGTCATTTCTGACGTCCTACCCCTCCCTCCCATTTCTTACCATGGTGTAGATCTCCTTTCTATTCGCACAGTCGGATGTCGTAGCAGGGCATCGCATTACATGGCATTTCATGGTGTTGAAGACCAACGCGTAGCCTGACATAGCATGGCGTGGCGACGCCCCAAAGTGGGGGGGGGGGCTTCCGCGGCCCCAAAAATCAAGGAATCGACACCGAAGGTGTAATCACTTCCGATGGTCTTTTCAGGGTGGCATTTTCTCGATTTTGGGGCCTATTTGGAAGGACCGAAAACCATGCCGTGGCATGGCGCTGGAAATAATGACGCCAGCGCTGCAGCGGGAGCACGATTCGGAACGAGCGGAAACGCGGAAATGCGGCCAGCGCTGCAGCGGGAGCACGATTCGGAGGACGCGTAGTCTGACATAGCATGGCGTGGTGACGCCCCAAAAGTGGGGGGGCTTCTGTGACCCTAAAAATCAACGAATCGACATCGAATGTGTAATTACTTCCGATGGTTGTTTCGGTGCGGCATTTTTTTAGATTTTGGGGCCTATTTGGAAGGACCAGAAACCATGTCGTGGCATGGCGCTGGAAGTAATGACGCCAGCGCTGCAGCGAGAGCACGATTCGGAACGAGCGGAAGCGCAGAAAGCGCGGAAATGTTGCCAGCATTGCAGCGGGAGCACGATTCGGAACGAGCGGTAGCCCGAAAATGAGGCCAGCGCTTCAGCGAGAGCAGCATTTAAAAAATACCCAAGCGAAAACCTGTTTCCCGGGAATCCTGTTTCTAAAAGACCAGCATGCGGAGGGGGGCCGGATATTTCCCGGGCGTCGCCAGGGGAGAGAGGAGAGCAGTATTCATATCGAGGAATTCCTGCTCCTGACCGCCTCCGTTCCTCCCTGGCGGTCCCTCGCCATGGCGGCCGTCCGGCCACGGGAGAAGACGCGGGCGCTGCTGGGCAGCCTCAAGGGCGACGACCGCCTGAAGGACGTGGTCGTTGTGGCCGAGTGCGGCCCCCACAGGAGCCACCCGTGAGCCAGAGCTTCGTGGGCCTTGGAAGCGACAGGGCCGTTAGTTGATTTACCGTTTCCGTTTCGCCGTTTTCTTGCCGGTCTTGTCGCCATTTTTTTGCCGATTCCGTCGCCGTCTTTTTGTTTGGTTCCGGTCTCGGTTCCAATCGCGTGGCCGTTTTTTTTGCCGTTTCTAGTCGCCGTTTTTTCCCAGTTTCTATTTTGAAGAGACACCTTTTCCACAACGGTGAAAAACACGGCGCTCCCGTTTCTGGGGCCCACTAAGAGCCAGAGGGGGTCTTTCGGGAGTAAAAAAGGCCCCGAGGTCTCCGCGCCGTCTTCGGCCTCCCTTCTTCGTCGTGGTCGTGGTGGTAGTGGTCGTCGCCATCTTCGGGAGGAGGAGGAAGAGGAGTAATCAGGAAGAGGGGGGAGGATGAGAAGGAGGAGAAGGATCATGACGATGATGGTGCGGAGGAGGAGGAGGAGGAGAAGGAGGATGAGGAGGAGGGAATGGGATGATGAGGAGGAGGACCAGTGTAAACCTTGGACGCATCAGCGATGTTGCAATACGCCCTCCCTCCAAGTTCCCTCGTCGCAGAAGATTTGTTGTCACTGCTGGAAGTGCCCTGTAGGAAGACAACCGTCTGAGAATCTCCAATCGTGCCAAAGCACTTCTCCTTGGATTTCAACGCCGTGGATCCACTTCACTATTTCGTCTTGGCGGTCTTGAACCGTGCCAGGACATCATTCCTTGGATTTTAACTTCGCGAATTAACGTGACTGCTGCGCCCTGTCAATCCTACACCGTGCGGTAACACCATTCCTTGGACGACAGCCATCATATTATGTTCAACGGTTGGACACATTAAACAAATCTTGGCGGCGCTAAGTCCAGAGCCACAGTTTGACGAATAACGCCCTCCATCTGTGTAACTGTTGCAAACGGTTAAGGCGAATGTGCGCGGCGCTAAGGCGAGAGTCACACTTTGACAGCATCACCCTCCATGCGTGAAGCTCTTGCGAACTTTCAGGGCGAGTGTGCGTGGCGCAAAGGCGAGAGCCACATCTTGAAAAGGAGCCGCCATCCATCCGTGAAGCGTTTTTTGGTGCAGTTTTTGAAAGCGAATGTGCGCGGTGCTAAGGCGAGAGCCACATTTTTGAACAGGAGCCGTCTTCCATCCGTTCAGCTTGCTCGGGGGACCATTTTTCAAAGCGAGTGTGCGCGGCGATAGGGCGAGGGCCGCATGTTGAAACCTCCATCCGTGCAGATCTCGCAACATTTTTCGGACGCATGTGCGCGCCGCTGAGGTGGGAGGGTCACTTCGTAAACTCCATTCGTGATGATGATGATGGTGATGATGCTGATGATGATGATGATGATGGTGATAATGGTGATGATGGTGATGCTGATGCTGCTGATGAGGATGAGGGTGAGGATGAGGATGAGGATGGGAATGATGATGATGATGAGGAGAAGGATGAGGAGGAGGAGTATCGCTTCGGCTCAGTGATGATGATGGTGATGATGATGATGATGATGATGACGATGATGCTGATGATGATGATGATGATGATGACGATGATGATGATGATGATGATGATGATGATGATGATGATGATGATGATGATGATGATGATGATGATGATGATGATGATGATGAGGATGAGGAGGAGTGATCGCCGCTCACGCATGTTGACCCATTTGTGAAACTTTCCCACACTTTGTGAGCTTCAGGGCCACAAATGGTAAAAGGAAGTCTCCGGCAGCTCGCCGGGCCCGCCCTGCAGACGCGCCTCGGGGTGCGAAAAAGGCGGAGTTATTCATGAGGACACGGGATGGATGAGGGGGAGGTGGCCGAGCAAGAAGAGGAGGAGGAGGAGGATGAGGAGGAGGAGTAGCAGGAGGAGGAGGAGGAGGAGGAGGAGGAGGAGGAGGAGGAGGAGGAGGAGGAGGAGGAGGAGGAAGAAGTGGAGGAGGAGGAGCAGGAGGAGGAGGAGGCGGCGGAGGAGGAGGGGGCGGCTCGGGGCGAGAAGCTGGTCCAGGGGAGCTCGAGGGCTTTCCAGGGGTCGTGCCCCTCGGAGGCCCTTTCGGCCCACTGCAGCGGCAGGAGGGAGACCGCTGCCTTCGACGTCGCCGAGGCCACGGCAGCCATAGGTAGGACGCTGTTCGTGCCAAAGGGGGGCAACACCCTGCGCTTCAGCGTCGTTAAGAGGCACAGGCTTCAGAAGGACGCGCTCATCGGCGAGGCGGAGGAGGTCGCGGCCCCGAAGCACGCGGGCCTTCGACTGGTCAGGCGAGGGAAAGAACGGGGCACGTTGTTCGTGCAGATCACAGAGTCCCTGCACAGTGATCCGAAGGGCAGCGCTCCTCCGAATCCGGTAGCCGTCGCACGGGCGCCCCGCGCGCCGGCGAGACCCTGCGGCTGCCTTCCGTTCTCCTGCTTCTGAGCCTCTGTCGCGATGCTCTCGTGATCTCGGCTCTATTGGGCAAACAGAACTACAGGCAGGAATTTTTGCAGAGCGTGTCGCGGCGGCGGCCGCGGCGACAGGCTGTGCCTTGCGAGTGGATAGCGTGTCGCTCCGCTCCGTCGGGCGGGAGGTCGGGAAAGGCTCGCTACGTTGACGCTTGAGGACTGGGACATAGATGGCGTGTCGCGCTGAGGCGTGGTGGGCCAGAGTTGGCGGCGCGACACGCTAAGGCAACGTTCCTGACCGTATGCGCATACACTGATCTTGGCCTGGCCAGGATCGGTGCATGTTCGTAGTTCTCTGCCTTCTATTCGTTTCGGCCTCTGTCCTCCTGCTCCTCTTTCTTACCTCTGCCCTTGCCAGTAGGGGGAGAGGTTCCAAAGGGGACGGGTCTCTGAGGTGGTCGGTTGCTCCCGGGTTTTCGGAGGCCCTTCAGGGGCTGCGGGACCGTCAGAAGACAGGCTCGGGATGATGAGCTGGTCCGGGGAAAGCCCCAGGGTCCAGGACCCGTTGCCCTCAGGACCCGCTTCCCTCATGCCAAAGGGAGGAGGAGCACGACCCTTCATGCCAATGACTGCTACCCCTGGTCCTTAGCCTCAGGCCCGCGCTGATTGGCGCTTGAGCGCGCGTTGTGCGAGGGGTGTTCGCTAGGCCTGCTTGCACCGTCTGGGTGTGTGTGCTCTGCTTCTTGGCTGGCAGCATGCCTGCAGCTCTCCTTCCCCCCTCCCGCCTTTGCGTCCTCCTCGCTCCTTCTCTGCTCCTTCTCCCCCACCTCCGCCTTCTCACCCTGCGCCGCTTGCTGCTGCTGCTCCTCCCTTCCCATCTGTCGCCTCCGCTTCCTCCCTCCTCCCCTCTACTCCCTCCTCGTCCTCCCCACCTCGTCCTCCTCTTGCTGCTCTTCTTCTTCTTCTTCTTCTTCTGCTTCTTCTTCCTTCGCCTCCACCTCCACCTCCTCGTCCTCTTCTTGCTGCTGTGGCTGCCTTTTCTCCTCCCCCTGCCCCTTTTCTCCTTCCCCCGTCCCCCCTCCCGTTCCTTCTCCACCACCCCCTCCTCTTTTCCCGTTTCCCCCCTCGCATTCCATCGCTCCGTTGTTTTGTGTTTGTAGGAGGGAGGCCGAGGGGTGGAGAGCCCCAGAAGACCCGCACGGGAAATGAGTAGTTTGATGAATCGGATAATGATGATGATGATGATGATGATGATGATGATGATGATGATGATGATGATGATGATGATGATGATGATGATGATGATGATTATGCTGATGATGATGATGATGGTGATGATGATGCTGATGATGCTGATGATGCTGATGATACTGATGGTGATGATCATGATGCTGATGCTGATGCTGATGCTTATGCTTATGCTGATTATGATGATCATGATGATGATGCTGATGCTGATTATTATGATGATGAACATGATGCTGATGATGATGAAGCTGATAATGAACATGCTAATGCTGTTGTTGTTATTGATGATGATGGTGACGATGATGCTGACGCTGATGATTATGATCATGATGATGATGCCGATGATGATGCTGATGATGATGATGATGATGATGATGATTATGATGACGATGCCGTGATGATGCTGCTGATGATGAGGTTGATGATGTTGATGACGATGCTGGTGATGCTGCTGCTGATGATGCTGATGATGGTGGTGACGATGCTGCTGCTGGTGATGCTGATGATGCTGCTGATGCTGCTGATGGTGATGCTGATGATGATGAGGAGGAGGAGGAGGCTGAGGAGGAAGACGATGTTGATGATGCTGCTGATGATGGCGGTGAGGACGATGATGACGCTGCTGCTTGTGATGTTGATGCTGATTATGATGGTGATGAGGTTGCTGATGATGCCGATCATGTGGATGATGATGCTGATGATGCTGATGATGCTGCTGTTGATGCTGATGCTGATGCTGATGATGCTGATGATGTTGTTGTTGATGTTGATGATGACGCTGTTGATGATACCGAGGATGATGATGATGATGCGATGAAGAGGATGGTGACGGAGACGATGAGTTGATGATGCTGATTCTTATGATGCTGCTGATGCTGGTGATGATGTTGATGATGATGCTGATGCTGATGATGATGCTGATGATGATGATGATGATGCTGATGGCTGTTGTGGTAATACTGCGTGTCCTGTTGATGCTTGTGATGATGCTGATGACGATGTTGATGGTGCTGAGGAGGAGAAGCGACGACGGTGAGGGTGGAGGAGGAGGCGGAGGAGGAGGAGGAGGAGGAGGAGGAGGAGGAGGATTGATGACCAGTGTAAACCCAGCATGCGTGAGCAACGCTGCCAGACGTGATCGGGTCGCACCTTCCATGTTCATACGTCCCCCATCCTTTGAACGACGGGAGTCCAATGTGCCTGCCATTCGTTCAGGCGATAGTCCTTCCCCTGCCGACTTCCATCTTCTGCTGTAAGCTGTTGTAACTGCCAATGCGTCGGATTACACAGCTCAGGGGCATGCCCAGCAAGAGCCACGTTCCGAACATGAGCCGCCCTCCACCCGTGTACTCGTTGAAAAGGAGCACTTTTGCAAACAAGCATGGAGCTCAGGCAATAGCCCCATTTTCAAGTGGCACGTCTTCTACTCGCACAGCTCTCCAACAGGCTTACGATTTCGGACATCGGATTTGAACGTTTCTCTGGCGATATCACACTTCTGAAAAAGAGCTGTCCTCCATCCATCTTCTGGTTTGGGGCATTTCAGACGCGCGTGTGCGGCGCTGCGGCGGGAGCCACTTTGTGAACACCAGCCGACCTCCATCCGTGTAAATGGTAGGATTGCATTTTCTGCGGATGTGCGCGGCGCTGAGGCCAGGGCCTCATTTTGAAATCCTATTCGAGGAGGTCCCAGGCGAACTGTGTTGCCCACCCCACGGGCATGTTTGGAGGTGCGACGAGGACGAGTTATTGATCGAAGACGCCTGGTGGTGTCACCACCGCCCCCTGCCTTTCCAAGGCGCCTGTGTCGCGAGATGTAAAGCGACAGTGCGGCCACGCCAGTGAACTGCGTGTTCCCTCAGGCAGTTGCAGAGCAGACTGGAACATCAGGGAGGTGCCCTCTGGGACGGTCTTGGGGCTGTCGCGGCTTCTTTCAGGCCTTCTAGGGGCCTCCTTGGGCCCCAAGAAGGCTCCCTTTTTGGGCCTTTTGTCATCTTGGGGCTTTTTGGACCTTTTGGCATATTGGGCCTTCTTTTGAGGCCGTTGGCAAAAAGTCCTCCTTGAGGCCCTTGGCAAAAGGCCCTTTTTTGAGGCCCTTGGCAAACGGCATCCTTGGGGGGCTTTTTGCCATCTTGGGGCTCTCTTGGACCGTTTTGGGGTCGCTCTTGGGCCATCTGGCGCCTTCGGGGGCTGTCTCGGCAGGGCCGTCTTGGAGCTCTCGTCGGCCGTCTCGAGGCACTTTTTGGGGGGGCTGCCTGGGGGGCCCTTCGGCGGGCCTCTTGGGTGGTCGTGGGGCGATCCGGGGGGCCTGTTGGGCATGGGCATTCAGACGCCAGAAACTGCGTCACCTTGACAACCACTCGAGTGTGGAATGACAGTCAAATGTGGCGGCCTCTTGGACTTCCGTCGGGCCTGTCCCTCTACAGGAGGAATATTCAAAAATAGTAAAGACTGCTCTGGGAACGATTTTTCGTCCAAAATCCCCCTGCAGAGGGACAGGCCCGACTTAATCTTGGACTTGAGCCCTCTTGGGCCGTCTTGGCGAGCTTTTTGGGGCCCTCTTCTGCGCGCCCGGGGCCGCCCGAGGGACGCCTTGGGCCCTCCTGGGGCGACAGGGGCACTCCTGGAGGCCCTCCTGGAGCCATCCCGGGCCGAGCAGCTGCTGGGCGCAGGCCCTCGTGGGTCGATCTCCCGGACCCGGCGGTTTCGGTCGGAGGCCAGAGGCCAGAGAGCGTCAGGAGTGCCCCAAGGTGTGTGCTTCGGCACCTCTCGGCAGTGCCACCTGGTGCTCGAAGCGCCGTCAGGCTGCGGTTGAGTCGGGCATGTCCCCCTAGAGGAGGAATATTCAAACATAGTAAACAACATCGTATGGGAACGACTTTCCAACTATTTCTTTAAAATCATTTTTGAATATGTTTAGCATTTGTTTTCTTCGAACATCTGCCTCTATGAGGACATGCCCGACCTAAGGCTACGGGGTGCGGCAGTCTAATGGCCTTCAGCCCATCCCACGACCATGCCGAGGTCGTGGGAAGAAGAGGCCCATCTGGGCCTTGTGGGGGCCCTTGGAGGGCCCCTTGGGGGCCTCCTGGGGGCCTCTCAGGGGCCTCTTGGCGGCTTCTTTGGCGCATTTTGTGGGCATCCTGGCTGTCTCGTGGGCCACCTGTGGGTGGAAGGTCGAAGATTTAAGTTCGAGTTCTCCCTCTCGGGACATCTGAGGGTTTCCTGAACGCCTCTTGGGCTCAGGGGCACTTCTTAGGTGCCTCGGATGCCCTCTTTGGCGGATCTTGGAGGCTTATTTGGCGGTCTTGCACGCTCTGAGGGCCGAAACGCCGAGTACGCGAAAACAGTTTTGAGCCTCTTGGGCTAGCTCCCGGGGGCTGCAAGACGGCTGAAGAGAGAGGCTCCCATGAGATCCCCAGCACGGCCGCTTGGGGCTGGTGAGGATCCCTCAGCCTTCTGGAGCGTTGCTTGGAAGGCTCTGGGTGGACGTTGGAGTCGGTCTGGGTAGGGAGAAGAGCAGGAGACGGTTGATGGGGCGGAGGGGGCGAAGAAGTCGGAGAGGCAAGGGAAGAGGAGAGGGTGGACGGGGCGGAGAGGGCGAAGAAGGAGGAGGATGAAGAGGAGGAGGAGGAGGAGGCGGAGGAGGAGGAGAACGATGAGGATGAGTAGGAAGGGGCTGTGGGGAGTCCGCCTCCCCTATCGCCCTCCTCAGGCGCAGCTGGCCTGGGACTTTGCGCGCATCGCCGAGCTCGAGGCCCAGGACATCTGACCGGGTCCCGCGGCCCACTGGCTGGTCGTGGGTTGCTGCATGAGCGTATCCTGGGGTTGGAACTAAACGGTGCCTTGGCCATCTCGTGGGCCGTTTTGTTTTTCGTTTTGCTTTGCATTCCAGGCGAAGCGAATGCACCACGAGGACGGACGAACAACACAGCGACACCGAAACGCACCGTTTAGGTTCAGCCCTGGCGTATCCCTGGCCCAAGGTGTCCCCAACATTTCGTTCCATTTGTGATGAAGCTGATGATGATGACGACGGCTCATGTTGATGACGATGGTGATGGCGATGATGATGATGCTGATGATGATGATGACGATGCTGATGATGATGATGATGATGTTGATACTGATGATGCTTATGATGATGATGCCGACGATGATGATGCTGATGATGGTGATGGTGATGTTGATGCTGATGATGCTGATGACGATGGTGATGATGATGCTGATGC